CTTTTCTGTCTCCTTTTTGTCTCCTTTTCTGTCTCCTTTTTGTCTCCTTTTCTGTCTCCTTTTTTGTCTCCTTTTTGTCTCCTTTTTTGTCTCTGTTTGTGTCTCCTTTTCTGTCTCCTTTTTTGTCTCCTTTTCTGTCGCCTTTTTGTCTCCTTTTTTGTTTTTGTCTCCTTTTGTCTCCTTTTCTGTCTCCTTTTTGTCTCCTCTTCTGTCTCCTTTTGTCTCCTTTTCTGTCTCCTTTTTGTCTCCTTTTCTGTCTCCTTTTGTCTCCTCTTTGTCTCCTTTTTGTCTCCTTTTCTGTCTCGTTTTGTCTCCTTTTCTGTCTCCTTTTTGTCTCCTTTTTTGTCTCCTTTATGTCTCCTTTTGTCTCCTTTTTTGTCTCTGTTTGTGTCTCCTTTTATGTCTCTTTTTGTATCTCTTTTTCGGTCTCCTTTTCTGTCTCCTTTTGTCTCCTTTTGTCTCCTTTTTTGTCTCCTTTTTTGTCTCCTTTTCTGTTTCCGTTTCTGTCTCCTTTTGTCTCTCTTTCTGTTGTCTCTCTCTCCCCATCTCTCCCTTACCCTTTCTGCTGCTGCTGCTGCTGCTGCTGCTGCTGCTGCTGCAGGAGCGAGGGGTCTGGCCTGCTGCTGGTGTTTGTTGTGTCTCTGTTTGCTGTTGGTGGTTTATTTATTCTCTCTCGGCTTATACTGAGGAGACAAGGAAACACAAAACGGAGACAGGTGAGGGTTTAGGGTTTAGGGTTTAGGGTTTAGGGTTTAGGGTATTGTGCCTCGAGCAGCAGCAACACAGCCCCGAAACTGGCATCCACTAGCCACGCATGCATGCATGCATGCATGCATGCATTTATTTATCTTATGCATGCATGCATGCATGCATGTATTTATTTTTCTTTTATCTGTTATTTTTGCTTGCATGCACGCATGAAAGAATAAATAAAAATAAATATAAATAAAAATAAATATAAATAAATACAAATAAATATAAATAAATACAAACAAATATAAATATAAATAAACATAAATATAAATAAATAAATAAAAATAAAAATAAATAAAAATAAAAATAAATATATATTTTTGTGCATGCAGCGGGACACTGAGTTTGGTCGTTTTGATTTGCTGCGGATGGAAGGCAGCCCCAACTCAGACTACGACGATGATGTATAAAAAAATAAAAAAAAAATAAAATAAAATAAAGAAAAAGAGAGAGAGACAGTTTAGTTTGTCTCCTTTCTGCAGCAGCAGCAGCAGCAGCAGCAGCAGCAGCAGGTGCTGCTGCAGCTGCTGCAGCTGCTGCTGTTTTTGCGTCCTTTTTGGAGCAGCAGAAGCAGCAGCAGCAGCAGCAGCAGCTGCTGCTGCTGCTGGCTGTCGCTCTTGGCCTTCTTTTATATTTACATATATACAGCTGCTGCTGCAGAAAGGAGACAGTCCCTTTGCTGCAGCAGCAGCAGCAGCAGCAGCAGCAGCTGGTGCAGCAGGAGCAGAAGAAGCAGCTGCAGCAGCAGCTGGTGCAGCAGCAGCAGCAGCAGCAGCAGCAGCAGCAGCAGCAGCAGCAGCAGCAGCAGCAGCAGCAGCA